GAGCCTTGGAGGAGGGTCATTGGGGTTAGATGAGGTCATGAGTTGGGAGCCCCCATGATAGTGTGAGTAGATTTATAGGAAGAGAGACCCAAGCTATCCTGTGTTGTAATCTGATATCATAAGAAGACCCCCCACTGAGTAATCAAAGAGATGTCTTGATGGGGTACCAGGGAAATTCCAAGCTAAGACTCCTAGCAATAGTGGATAGGTAGCCTGAACTGTCCTTCCCCTGTAGATTGATGACTACACTAATTGTCTTCAGAGAACCTTCCATCAGTAACTGATGGAAACAGATCCACAGCCAAGCACTGAGCTGACCTCTGGAAATTCTGCTGAGGAGAGGGAGGAAGGATTGTACAAGCTGGGCTGGGGAAGGGTCAAGGCTATGACAGGGAACCCACAGAAACAACTAAGCTGGCCTCATAGGAGCTCACAGACACTGTATGAACAGCCAAGGGCCTGCATGAGAGTGACCTACGCACTATACATATGTGTGACAGTTGTATGGCTTGGTCTATTTGTGGGACTCCCAGTAGTGGGATCAGGATCCCTAGTGCTTGAGGTGGCTTTTAGGAACCCATTCATCATACTGGCTTGCCTTACCAAGCCTTAATACAAAGGGAGGAGCTTAGTCTGACCTCAACATAATATGTCATGCTTTGTTGACATCCATTGGTGGCCTGCCCATTTATGAACAGAAACAGAGGAGTAGATGGGGGGAGGAGAGGCCAGGGGAGGAATGGGAGGGAAGGAGGGAGGGGTAACTTTTCAGTCATGATGTAAAATAAATGAAATTTTAATTAATAATAAACAAAAATACGTGAATAAATAAAAAGGCCCCCACCATGTATTAGCACCATTTTTGTTGTTTGTGGTTGTTGTTGTTGTTGCTTTGTCCTGACTTAAAAAGGATCTGACCCTCCCTGGGGAAATGAGGAGATATTGGGGGGGGTTGGTGGGAGGGCGCGGGAGGAGAGGAGGGAAAGGGACCTGGAATTGACATGTGAAGCAACCTTGTTTCTAATTTAAATTTAAATTTAAAAATAAAATAAAATAAGGGATCTGAGCCAGTGCCTATATGAGCCAGACTAAAAAGAGTCTGCAAAGCATTTCTTACACAGGAAGAAAGAACTCCAGGGGGTTAGAAATGAAGTGTTACGGAGATGCAGCAGCCAAGAGCCAGGTTCCAGCCTTTCTCCACCTGTTGACCAGCTCAAGGGAACTTCAACCTCTGCTGAGGAGTTTGGCCAGGAGACAGAAGGGAAAGTGGATTTTGTGTGGTACTCTTTGACCCCAGGAGAAGAAGTTGGGCTGACAACTGGAGAGAGAGGCTGGGCATTTTAGCTTCACAGGACAGTGGAACGGTGGGTGCTTGCCTTTCTGAGTGGTATAGATGTTAGCAGAGCTCTGGCTCTATGTCAAGCCAAAGAGGAGCTAAGGTTCAAGTTTCTACAGTGTGCATACATGTGTGATGTGTGTGTGCTCACAGAGACCAGAGGAGGACATTGGATGTCCTGCTCTATCACCATCACTTTCATTCACTTGAGAAAGTCTCTCGTAGAACCTGGAGTCAGGCTGGAAGCTAGTATGCTCAGTCATCTTCTTGTCTCCACCCCCACGGCACCGATGTTACAGGCACAGGTGGCCATGCCCAGCTTTTCACTTGAATACTAGAGATGGGGTTTGGGTCCTCATGCCTGCACAGCAAGCTCTCTCACCCACTGAGCCATCTCCCCAGGGTTTGATGTGAGCAGAGCCCACAACTGGAGAAGATTGGAAGAAGAAACTAGCAGGGACCTTTGACAGTTGAGACAGAAAGATTTTGAGTTGTATCTGAGACTAAATGCTTTGGTGTGTTTCATATTTCTTAGATTCTTTGATCTTTCTTGACTCATTCTGCTGTACATTTGTCTGAAGTTATTTGTCTGTATTTACTTGTCTGTGTGTGTGTGGGGGGTTGAATGCTTGCCACAGCTCATTTATGTAGAACAAAGGACAACATGTGGAATCCCTTTAGGTGGGTCTCCGGGCTTGAACTCAGATCAACAGGCTTGCATATCAAGAGCCTTTCCCTGCTGAATCATCATCCCGGCACAATCTGTGGAATGGGGAGGTGAAGGTGATAACTCCTTGGGCAAGGCATGGTGTTTGGAGGAGCCCTGCATGCCATGACAGTTGTCTCAGGGCAGTGAGAAGCACAAAAGTCCTTTGTTTGCACGCTTGTTGCTGTGTGACCTTGGGCAGTGTTTGCTCACTTGTTGCTGTGTGACCTTGGGCAGTTTTTTTTCTGTGCTTCATCCTCTGTGTATGAAACAAGGGGACAGAACCCAGTGACTTCTGTGGCTGGCATCTCACACCTCTATACAGCGTCCCAACACTCCCACCAAGTGTTATAGCATGTCACTTAAGATAGCAAAGTTTTCTGGACACACTGTCACATGCCTGTTATCCCAGTATTGAGGCAGAGTAGAAACAGGAGGATGACAGCAAGCTCAAGGTCGGACTGGTCTACCTAGTGAGTTTCAGGTCACCCAGTGCTACACAGAGAGACCCTGTCTCAACAAAATACAAAATAAACAGAAGCTGTCAGCCTGGGCTGCCTCGGGAGGTTCTAGGGTAGAAGCATGCATGCCTCTGAGGTGCTCCCTGAGCACAACTGGTCCATGGCATGCCATCTAGTCCCATTCTGGGGTCCTAGGTCATTCTACCTTCAGGTTCCAAGCCCATTTCAAGCACCTACCCTGCCCAGGGACTTCTACTCTTGCCCACTAGCTGACTGAGAGAGTGGAAGGGCACACACAGCCCAGACCCCAGGGATTTGCACCACACTGGACACGAGCAACGGCCAACTTCTTACTAACTGGTGGGACTCCTAGGATGGTTCTCTCTTTGTCTCTACATGGAAGTGCTCAGCCACATAGGTGCAGAAATCACAGCTTCTGGCAATAATGTCTGTGAAGTTCTATGGGGCCCACTAGGCGCTTCCTCTGGAACCTGCCTTCCACCCCTGTTCCACTGCCAAGTTCTAGCCATGCTGAGTGTTTTCACTTTCAGGTCATCACTGCCGTGGTCTTCCACAGAGCAAGTTTTTTCCTACCTCAGGACCTTTGGACATGCTATTCCCAAAGCATAGAAGGCCATTACTTTGCCTCTCTCCTTGTTGTTGACACTCAGCCTAAATAAGAGCCTTCAGTAAAAGCTTTCTCTGACCCCTGCCTCTAAGGGGCTCCCTCCAGCCCCACAGTTAGTTCAAGCCTCAGCAATATGGTTACATGTGACAGAGTTCTTCCAGAATCATGGCAGTCGATGATGCTAGGCTATATGCTGTGGAGGTGTATGTGCAGCTCAACAGACTTTCACAACATCCCAAAGCAGTTCTTATTCCACCTCACTGATAAAGACACACGGCTGGGAAATGAATCGTCCCACACCCTAAGTCTACATGGCAGAGCTCAAGTTGTATGCGGTTCTCTGCCTTTCCCAGTAGCCCAGGCTGCTTTCCAAACCTGCTCTAACCCAGAATTCCTGCCAGGATGGCAGGAACCTGAACCAGCAAGGAGATGGTAACAGCCTTAGCATGTTTCCGAATACCTCCAGCAATCACGGCAGAGAGAGAGAGGTGCTACCCCACAGCCAACCAGTCAGGGCCAGTGGGCCAAGGAGCTCATGTGAAAAGCTTTGAGTCCATCAGTCAGTGGACCTACAGTAAAATCAGCCAGATGACAAGACACAGAGTATGGACTGCAGGGTCTGGAGGTATCCTGGAAGTCCTGGAGACCAGAGGCCTACTGGTCAGAGAGAACCAAGGCAAGTAGAGTGGACCCTCTATCCCTAGCTGCCCTGCTACCCCATGGATACTCCTCCGAATATCGGCAGCTAGGACCTTTGGGTCTGGTTCCTTCAATAGTGTCTCTGCTTGAATACACCTAGCAACGAGGCACTCGCTACCTCTAAAGACAGTCTTTCCATGGATGGATGGAATGTTTCTCGTTTCTCACCCCAGGAGTATACATTGGCATCTGTGCCATTTTTCTTTCCCATCCCTTCAAATGTTAGGGTTCACACATCCCAAGGTTCCCATCCATGCCCCACCCATGCCAAACATCCCATTTCTCCATCCATGTGCCACCTCAGGTACCTTCTCAACCAAGAACCTGTTCTGGTGCATCCTGAATCCCTGGCATGCTCACCGCAGCACTGCAGGCTAGGCTAGCCACCGGCTATCAGTAAGACCAGTGCAGTCTAACCCTGGCATCCCTAACATCCCAGAGCCTTCCTACCACGGAGCCGGCATGTCTGGACAATGCTCTGTGGCTTCCAAGGCCCTATGGAGACTACCCGAGGCCACAGCGGGGAGCAAGGGGTCCCTCTATGTGTGCTCATTGGAGCACCCACCACTTCAGCCTGTTGCTACAGGTGAACTGAGCCAAGTACATGCATTGGAAGCAAGATCCTGAGAAGTTTAAAACGTCCAAATCCAGAAGTGAGACCTGCCGTGACCCAGTGCTACGGACACATGCTGTCTTTAGGCCTGGTTAGCCCCATTCCACACATGCTGAAACACCAGGGCCCACGGCCTCACATCTGATCAGGTCTCCCCGAACTGCAGGGCAGGCTGACTCTGCTGTCCAGGAGTTCATGGAACTGCTCTTTATGAACCGAGTGCCTCGGGTGCAGGAGTGTTGAGGAAGCACTTGTGTCCCTGGCATCTGCCAAGTGGGCTGTGTCTGAACATCGGAAATCTAAGTCAGGACCCCTAGGCAAATGAGGCAGTGGCAGCGGGAGTGTGGGCTTGGGGACGACGGTGGTGATGTTGGGGGAAGTGGTTGGCAGTGGAGGTGGGGGAGGTGAGGAGGATGGTGGTGATGCTGGGGAAGTGGTCAGTGCGCGTGCGCAGGAGTGGGGAGTGGGTAAGGGGTGTGGGGGGGGGTGATGTTGGAGGCGTAGCCGGCGCAGGGGGTTGGCAGGTGATGCTGAGGGCGTGGCCAGCAGCTACTCACAGGGCAGCGTCTCTGCACTGTTCTTCTGGATCATTATGCAGAGCTGTAGCACCAGTTGGGGGGCGCTCTCCAGAAAGGTCTCCAGGAGGCGCAGCATGTTGACATCTGCATATTCGTACATCATAGCCCAGTAGAAGCGTCGCTGGTGTTCCTTCTGCCGCTGGCTCTGAATCCCCAGGTACATGGTGCGGATATACCTGTGGGGAGACACGGTACAGAAAACACGTGTGGGTGGGGATGGGGGTAGCAGAAGGACCACAACCTGCTTCCTAAATCCCAAGCCACCTGCATTGGCATTCCCCAACCTCCTACAGAAGTCCCCAGGGGTTTGGGTGGGATTCAGAGTCAAAAGGAAAAAGTGGAGAGGCATGGGGGCCCAGTCATGGGAGGGAGCTGACCCAATGAGGGACCCCAGGCTAGTCCTCTCCATCCTGGCCTCCACTTATACATACAGAAAATGAAAGCATTACCCAAATGATGCCCCAGGCCCATCAGCTGAGCATTTCAGATGAGCTCAGAGGTAGGAGGGCTTCTTGAGGTACAGGGTTGGGGTGGAGGTGGGAGACATTCCAATGAAGTTGGCATTTTTGTCACTCCTGAGTGAAAGGAAGTGACTTATGATGCTCCTAAGTGCCACTCTCTGGCCATACCCACACAGGGAGAAGGTAGGCATACTCCCACAGGGACCAGTTGGGCCTCTGAAAGGTTACGCCCTCCCCTGTGTGGGCTCAGATGACTGAATGGGGGGGGGAGAGTCAAACAGAAGTTGGTCCAAGGTCATTAGCCACCAAGGCCTGTAGGAAGCTCTGTGTGGGGGCAGTCACAAATCTACTGACCCCTCTCAGAAAGGTTAGGACACCCAGACTCTATGGGAGCTGCAAAAGCCCAGGAAAACAGGTCTAGCTGGAGAACCCAGGCTTGCAGATCAGCACTGAGAACTGTGCCACGTTGAAACAGTGACTCCAGTTCACTGTGCCAGGCCCTCCTCTTCAGCGAGGATGCTTCCCACGGTGGGTAGTGAGCACGTGTGCAGAGGGCACTCTTCCTGTGTCCACCTCACTGTCACCAGAACCTTCTGACACAGTGTCTCCAAGGGTCTGGGGATCTACTAAGCCCAAGCCTCAGCCTGGGAGGGAAGCCATGGTCACGCTATGGTTGGGGCCCGGGATGTAGGAAGAGCCCAGAATATGGGTAGACCTGTCTGGGTGGGGTCCTGTCCAAACGCAAGGGTCAGAAGCAGAGCTCTGCAGGTCAGGATCAAGAATGGAACTACACACACAGTGACACATATTCCTGAGCTGGAACCATACAGATGGAGCACAGGGTTGACCGCCCTCTTCAGGCTGGTGGCCCTCAGACACTGCCCACCCGAACCTGCTGGATAGCCCTCTCTGTCCCCTCCATGCATGGACACCGGCACCTCCTCGCCGGCACATGCTGCCCACCCCTGCTCCATAAGAAGCCCTCTTCACATGGCAGCCAGAGTGCTCTCAGAAGGGTCTGAAGTGCAGGCATGGAGACCACTCTGCCATCTGGTTCCCCGTGCTTAGAACAACCCCAGCCCTCCTGGGGACTTAGGGCCTCATTTCATCTCCAACATCTCACCAGCTCTCTCAGACGTTTCTTTCTTATCTGTCTTTCTTGCTTCCCCCTGGAGCACAGCAGCCTCCTGTGCATAAGGACCTGCCGATGGCGCCCTGATATATCTCATTGCCCTGTGTAGCACCTGTGGAAGAAGCAGGTGCATGCTGGGAATACTCTGGGGCCGAGGACTCCAGGCGGGACCACGCGCTCATGACATCTTAGTGGTGGACCCTAAGTATGCTGGAGACAAAGGTGTGACAGGCAGGTGGTTGACGAGAGAAAGTCTGACCTCATGGTCGTGTAGGGACGTCACCCGAAGACTGAACAGATGGGAACCCATGCGTAAAGGTCAAACTGAAAAGCACATGTTCGAAACACAGTTTGAAACTGCGAAGCGCCGCTACCTCTAGTTGCAAAATGGTGGGCCACACTCCAGAACAGCAGTTGTGTGCCAGACCTGGAAGGATGAAAGCTCAGTGGCCTGCAAGACATGCCCCACGGAGCCTCAGTGAGCTCCAGCAGGGAGGCCAGGGAACAGAGCTGATAGATGCCTAAGAGACTGTATGAAGACTCGGGTGACTGTCCTGAACGGATCCCCCACTGGGGAAGTAGGGATAAACACCAGTTTCTTCGTCTCCGGAGTGAGCAGAGACACAGGCCAACAATGGAACCACACACACACATGGCTTGGGAGAATTAAGGCCACACTGCAGAGGTCTCCATCAGGGAGGGGACTTGGGAAAGGTTCGGGTGTGCCAGACCTCAGCCAGGTGTCTCCACTGCCTCGTAAGAAGACCTTCTTATTGCTATCTCAAAAGTGGGGAAACTGAGGCTGGGTGAAGCTGAGCACCACATTCTGGTTCGATCATGGGTTTGCACTTCCTGTGCGCTGCTGCTCTAGGTACTTGTGTAGATTTCTGTCATCAAGGAACCAGGGAAGGGCTTCAGATGGGAAGGACACTGGGATACAGAGCCTATGGATTCAGTAAGGAAAGGAGGGAGGAGAGAGGGAGGGACAGAAAACCAAGGAAGCGCAGGAGACGGGGAGGACAGAATAAGAGGGAGGAAAGAGAAAGAGAAGGGAGGGAGAGAGGAATTGAATAAAAAACGGAAGTGAGGGATGAGGGGTCAGAGTTTGGGAAGACGCCATTGGGTGGGACGGGGCGTGGTGCCCAGGAGAGGACCCAGTGTCTTCCGAGTAGAAGGGGATGGGGAAGCCGACCCTGAATGATGCTTTGGAAAGAACAGCGGCATGTCTGGCAGGGCCATGGTGCTGTATATCACACTAATCACCAGCATCCCCTGACCCAAACTCAGCTCTACACACATGCGCTAACCCACACCAGAGACAGGCCACCACCCAGCTCTCTCAGTATATACTCAGACCACAGTCGGTCTCTCTCAGAAGTGACCTGTCTGCTGTAGTGAAGAGTAGCAGAACTGAGTCTAGCCATCTCAGTCCCAGGGTGATGCCCATAATTGCTTCATTCCTCTTCTGTATCAGAGTTTCAAGGTCCAAGAAGAAAGTTGTATCCCCCCCCTGGGGGCACAGGAGCAAAGCCAGAACCTGATCCCTGGGTGGGGGCACATGGGCTTGGATGCCACACCTCCTGGTCTCCAAGGCCTCTGCCCTGGGGTAAGAGCAAAGAAGAAATCAGAGTGGAACTTGGGACTTCCAGATATTCAGACCACAGGGCAAATGTCCCCTCCCCCCCCCCCCCCACCTTTTTGGAACAGGGTCTCATGTAGCTCAGGCTGGCCTTGAACTAGCTATATAGCCAGTAATAACCTTGAATTTCTGATCCTCCTTCCTCCATCGCCTGAGTGCTGTGTACCATCATGCTCAGCTGGCTATTCTCTCTTCCATCTTATAGTCATGGTCGCTGGCTGGCAACAGAGGGAGGTTTGCCGGCTTGTAATAAACTAGATTTGGATACAGACCTAGCCTAGCCCACTTTATAGACCAGGACCCTAAGGCCATAGTCTAAAATTCCTGTGTCTCCATCATCCTGGGAACATGACAGGCATCCCTGAATCTGCATCCAAACTTTCTGACTTTTTGTCATGGAAACTGTCCCCCTCAGTATGGTGCCAAATGCTTCCTCTGGTGTGCAAGGACCCCAGCTGCCCTTGGAGACATGGATCCAGCCATCCCCAGGACAAGTGGAATGCTGCAACCTTCCTTGATCTCCACTACATCTTGCCTCCATGTCAGTCCCAGGAACTTCAGGGAATGAGCTGCGGGTGACAGCACACCTCTTTCCGGAGCCCTTGAGCTTGTCCAGGCCTTCTGAGGTCGCCCTGCCGGTTATTGAACTGCCTATCCTCCCGTGGCCACACGGTGGCGCCGGATCCTAAGTTTCGCAAAAAGGAGGCGCCACACCGGTGATCTCATACCTTAGGGCCTGCGCCCTCCTATGCGACAGTGCCTGCTGCAGGGGCCACCTGCGAGCCGCGGTGCATGTTGGTCAATATGTATCAGGGTCCCATCTGAAGGTATGGTGAATGCCAAGGTCTCCCCTTACCCTGAAGGTTCTAGAAAGCTGCCTTGACCGGGAAGGCAGTCTAGGAGAGAGGACACCCACCCTGCTGCTCCTGGATTTACTACCTCATCATCTCGTGTTACATCCTGTCACACTGTCTCTCCTTTAGGAGCACCGGATCTTGCAGTGATCAGTATAAGAGCCAGGAGGTCGCGGCCGGCGGCGGCGGCACACTGCAGGGCTGTGTGACACCTAAGCAGGTCCCTTTCCCAGGCTGCACCCTCACCCTAACCCCTATCCTCATCCACCCCCACCCCAGGTTTGCCCACCAGAAAAGGGCAGTCTGAGGCACTCTGGACCCCTGCCAGTACTTTGTATCATCTTTTTTCAAGTGTGTGTCTTCATAGTGTACAAAGTTGCATGTACTTTACGGTAGTGATCTGCATTTGAGTGCAAAGCATGGTTCTGAGCAATTGTATTGAGTTAATGAACTGAGAGCATTAACTCGCTGAAACCTCACAACCATTTACAAGGACTCTGCAGCATCACCTCACTTCACAGATAGCCAAATAAAGCTCCGGGGCAAAGACTTGGGCCTCAGTTTACCCAGCTGCACCAACAGCTGAACAGAGCCTTACACATGGGCAGCTTTGGGCTCAGGGCTCTGGAGTCCAGATCTGCACAGCTCTCTGATAGACCATTTATCTTGAGCATGGCCCATCCTGTTTCGATCGTTACAGTGGGAAGTACAGTCCCCACCCCCTGAGGCCTGGTTTCGTCATCTATATGCCTAGTCCAGAGCAGGGCTCCAGGATGAGTGAAAGTCATGAATGCATGCCGTCTTGCTCCCTAGAGGGCCTGGAATGTGAGAGTCCACGCGAAAACGTGGGAAAGAACCCTCTGGGTAGGTGGCTGCTTGCTAGGGTGCCTGACTTTAGCGCCAGGACTGCTCAGCTCCCTTCTGTGCCATGCAAGTCCTGACATCACCCCAAACTCCCTCCCCCTGCCTCCGGGAGAGGTACCTTTGCATTTGATATCAGCATTCAGGGAGAGTAACTGTCATTTTCTTTTCTCTTTTGGCTGATTTGCAGCCCAGAGAGGCTGAGTGACTTCCCCAGTCACACAGCCAG